CGCTGTCGGCGCAGAACAAAGGTCGCTGAATTCGAGCGTAGGAGACGCGCACAACATCCAACTGAATAGTTTTAGTTTTACTACCTATGTGTTTCTTGCCGCTGCTTACACGCGTCAATTTATTCGTCCTAATTGATCTTATTTTACTCTTACTTCGCAAACTCCTCTTACACGCATCCCTCATTTCGTACTCCTGTCTCTCCATCAACACGTCTCTCGACTTTCCTCGTTTCGTACAATTCATCGAACCTCGTCTGTTCCAAACCTATCACATTCCACGCAATGGTATTTCCTGCGCCAGCCACAGACCAATGGCTTGCCCAGCTGAAAGAGCTGAAACGCAAATGCACCACTTTCCTTGTGAAAGAGGTCGACAACAGATGCGCTCAGCCCCAGTCCTGGAAACCGACTGATGGACCAGGCCCCGACGCTACCGTCGACGGCGATCACCTCAACCTTGCCTCCGTCTCCAAATGGAGGATTAGCGGCCCCCCTGTCAACTGCACCGATATGAAACGAATCTACGACCCGGCTACAGAGTCACTCTGGCAGCCTAAGACGCCTCTGTCCTAGGGCATTAGAGGTGCTGTATAAGGAATGGGCCCCATTATGAGGTCCTGGCGAGGTGTTGCCATGATCGAGCTACGACCCGGATGTTACGAGCGGTGGGCTAAAGAATAGGATGGTGTCAAGGTCCACTCCGATAATATGTATTGCTTCATCTGCGGTGTTTGCTTCGGCCGTGTTCCCCTGAGCTAGGCCGTGGTAGCTAGTCCTAATATCATCATCGTTCCCATCAGACACCAAGCGTGTACCCACGGATCCGTGAATGGATCTGGATGTGCCTAATGCAGTAGTTCGGGAGTTCTATCCCTTCTCCAATGCACTTCTCCCTTTGGTCCCTATTAGGCATTGCCCTGTTTCTTGGGAGTTTCTTGGGATGAGGGTGCGGACTGGATGAGAAACCTGCCGGAAAGTATTGAATCCAGTTTGGATTTAAAGGAATTTTAAGCGTATGCACAACAACGGGTTGAAACTATCTATCTACACGACGTAGAGGTAATGAACCTGGCAGCCTTCAGCAGTTGGCTACATATTCCATGCCATCCCCGATCTGAAAACAACCTCATCACCAGTCCATTCCGACGCGACATCTTTAAACAAGTCATAAGATTCATGGAAGAGCTTTTTTTTGGAATCCAAACCTCCAACCTAATGCAAACATAAGAACTCCGTTGGAACAATAAACCATGCCGAACCTAATCCACCATTAAAATTTTAACAGGTGCTAGTGGAAGATCTGTAGACATGTGTTCCCAATAGCGGGCCGATGACTCTGGATATGATAAACAACAGAGCAAATCAAGGCAGGTTGCAAGGCGAATAAGGATGTAGACATTTGCTGATAGACTGACGAATGGCAACAGGTCGCAGAAGTAAATGAGCGTACTAGACCAGGAATACCAGGGTGTGAAGCAGGTCACTACCTTTTAGTCGGGGTCACTGTTGCCATTAGACCGTCATCATCGTCATCATCGCCATCGTCGTCCGAGAGACCGTCATTGGCACCGGAAGAGGGCCCGGCGCGGCGACGGAATCCCTTGCCCTGAACCGCCGAGGGTCTGCATACGCCTGGGATCCCCATTAACCACATGATCTTCCAATCGCCGCGGTGCCTGTTGCGCCGCTGCTTATAGTCGCGGCCATCATGTTTGTGACGGCGGCGACGATGCTCGTTGTGGACGCCCTTTTCAGTTCTCTTCTTCCAAGAAGTACTGTTGAATATAGTTAGCACCGGGTTTACAAATAGAATTGATAATATCCATGGATGAGGTAGAAAGCTTACGAAGTTGCCTGCCAGCTTCTGCTCCTGGTCCATTTGACTGTTGTACTTGTTGATACGAGGGCGGTAACTGGTGGGGTCACGACGGAAAGTGACATCCAAGCTCTTCAAGAACCTGTTGCAACCACCGACGAGAGACTCGGGCGTCTGGGCACGAGCATCCACGGATGGCTGGCCATCGAAGACGATGACACGATCAGCCAAATAAGTGGCCATGATGAAATCGTGCTCGACGATGAAAGCGGTCTTCTTGGTGTGCATAATGAAACGCTTGATGACACGAGCAGCGACAATACGCTGCTCGGAGTCCAGGTAGGCACTGGGCTCGTCAATCAGGTAGATATCAGCGGGCATACCCAGAGCCAAGACAATAGCGACACGCTGCAATTCACCACCGGACAGGTTTTGAACCTCCTGGTCGATGAAGTCATCCATCTTCAGGGGCTTGTAGACATCGGTCTGGAACTGAGGAGACAGGAAAGCGGTCTTGATACGCTTGAAGAAAAGTTGGCGCACGGTACCCGTGAACTTGGGAGTGATCTTCTGGGGCTTCATGCTGATGTTCATCTTGGGGACGGAGATAAGGCCATCAGGCTTCAATGCACCAGCAAGCATCTTACAGAAAGTAGTCTTTCCAGTTCCGTTTTCTCCCATCATGACGACAATCTCGGAGTCGGTGAACTTTCCGGCTTCAACCTTCAGGTGGAAGTCACCCAAAGTCTTCTCCATCGCGGGATAAGCGAAGGCACGATCCTTGTCCGCAATGAACTCCTCGCCCGCTTCGGCAAGACGGAAGGTGAGAGATTCCTCACGGAATCGCAGGTTCTCGGTAGGGATGTGGCCGTCCAAGAAGATGTTGATGCCCTCACGGACGGAGGAAGGCAGAGTGACGACACCGTAAACAGCAGGGCGACCATACAGCACGCAAATGAAGTCGGACAAGTAATCGAGGACGGACAAATCGTGTTCGACAACAATGACATAGTCATCTGGGCGGAGGAGGCTGCGGATTGTACGGGCAGCAGCCAGACGCTGCTTAACATCGAGATATGAGGAAGGCTCGTCGAACATGTACCTATATCAGAATTAGTAACTGACAGGACTCAATGGCATGAATATACTGGAAAAGAACATACACGTCGGCCTTCTGCACGCAAACCAGGCCAATGGCAAAACGCTGAAGCTCACCACCGGAAAGGTGACCGATATCACGCTGCGCAACTTGGTTCAGCTCTGGACGAAGGTTAGCAGATGAAATTCCAAGATATTGGAGTATGGGAACACACCAAGAACATCCATGATCTCCTCCTCGTTACCCAGCGCAGCGCGCGCAGAGATGAGCTGTTGCACTTGCTGAATAGGTCCCTTCACAGCACGGGGAATCTGATCGACATATTGAGGCTTTACAACCGCCTTCAGATCGTCTTCCAGAATCTTGGTGAAGTAGTCTATCACAGTTAGCAACTTCGAATAGAGACCGTGACACTCGGGCTATAGAGCTTACTCTGCAAATCGGAACCACGGAAGTACTTCAGGATCTCCTCCCAGTCGGGAGGGTTGTCGTAACGACCGAGGTTAGGCTTCAGCTTGCCACTGAGAATCTTCAACGCGGTACTCTTTCCGATACCGTTTGTTCCAACCAGACCCAGAACCTGACCGGGACGGGGCATGGGAAGTCGGTGAAGCTTGAAACTGTTGGCTGAGTAGCGGTGGGTGACTTGGGTCTCGAGGTTGGTGGGCAAGTTGATGATGTGAATGGCTCCGAATGGGCACTTCTTGGGGCAAATACCACAACCAATGCACAGGCGCTCGGAAATGAAGGCGATCTTAGAACTGGGATCGACTTCAATGCAAAGCTTGCCTGTGCGGACCACGGGGCAAGACTTCTTGCACTCTTGACGACATTTCTGTAACTAATTAGCCTCCGTGAACACCGCCAAATATCATCTCAAATCGCGTACCTTCGGTTTGCACTGTAAAATTGGAAAGATATGGTGTGAGCCAGGCATCCATGAACCGGCGAGAAAATCTTATTAGTGGGGTTATTTCGCGACGAACCTTGTCACTGTTGATGATCGCAATACTATAAAGAGAAATCTATCGTTAGCTGATGATATGGCACTTCAAAGACTCCAGAAACATACCGGGTAAGCTTGTCAGACATGGTGGGTGGATGTGATTCAAAGGAAACTGTGTATGAAGCGGGTTGAAAAAAAAGAATCAGCACCAAGTAGAGGAGGGGCGGAGGTTGAGATTGGCGGAATAAGCGCTGTCGCAGGCAAATAAACTGGGCTCGGCAAAAGCACCAAGTATCTCTGCGCAGACTTGACTAGAAATAAGACAGGTAGAATCACTGCTATCAACGAACGAGGGGCGCTAGAAATGAGTGCACTTCGCTTTCTGTGGGCTGTGATGCCTTAGGCCACAGCTGCGTCACTTATTTATCAAGGCGGTGATTGGCTGTTGACCTGGACTCGGATTGAGTGTTTATCCGAGATCCGCAAGCCACGTGATGAGACGTCGTGTCCGGGGCCAAGCGAATGCGCTAGTACCAATTAGGTCAAGCTTATTTATGCCTAATAGATCGGGTGTCTACTTTCCCTGCAAACCAAACCGAAGCAAACCCTCCAGTCAGTCCCCAACTCTTAGTTCTTCCAAGTCTCTCGTCTCCTCCTCCCCAAGATTCCAGCTTCACGCCTCCCCCCCCCACCATTTACTTTCCCACATTGATCGACAGATCCCCCGCTTTCGGGGTCACCACGCTATGGAGTGTAAGTGATTTAATCTTATCCTCAAGCACAGACGTGCCGACCGAAGCATTCGCCGCGGTACTTCTCCGCGCTTGTCGACCCACTGCACGAATCCTTGAATCCCTCTATTCTGCTCCGATCGGGACAGTTTTCAACTGTGGTCGATCAAGCGGCGTGTCACTGTTTTCTGCAAGTCTGGTTGTGTGTACCAATCTGTCCATTGCTTTGGCTTACAGTCTGGCCGCGTCCATCCCACCCGTTATCAAAAACATACTCTTTCATCAAAGTCAATATCCTGTCCCATTCTGCTAGGTTTTAGGCTCCATTTGACCGCAATTTGAGTCGCGTGCCATTGTTCTACCCGTCCCTGTCTCTTTCATGCCTCTCCTAGCCCGAATTGAGCTTCAATGCTGACTTCCTCGGTAATAGCCTCTGGCATGGTGATCCCATCTGCTCAGGAACCTCCTTCTACTTCGACCATGTCTAATGGCTACCCTATTTCGCCGGTCGCCGACAATACCCACGCGGATGGCGATGCGGTGACCCAACGTGAGCGCAGTCCGTCCGAGCCCATGGAGTCTCATCCTGTCTCCGAGTCCTCCCCCGAGCCCGATGCCGCGGACGACTCATATGACGGCGCGTCTGCCGATTCAGATGCGGAAGATGAGGACGTAGCGGACGACAACAGCGATTATGACGCCAACACATACAGCCGTGAAAACTCTTCATCCCCTCACCCCGTCCGTGGTGCGAAGCGCAAATCCTCACCGGCTAGCGAAACCGACCTGATCAGACAAAATCCCGATCTGTATGGACTTCGACGAAGTGGTCGTGCTCGTACAACCCGCCATATCGCCGACTCATCTGATTCAGACTCAGATGATGTTGCACCACGTACTAAGCGTCGTCGCAAAGATCCATCCCAACAACCATCTAAAGCCTCGCGATCGGCTACTGTGTCGTCCCTATCCGAGTCCGACAGTGATGAGTATGGTGGAAAGAGTGCTCGTGCTAGCAAAGCGAGGAGGCGACGTCTCCAACAAACTGCTAGCTATGAGCCCTCATTGAACGAGGTCCGCTTCTCAACACGAACCGCCAAGAAGGTGTCAAATTACAACGAGGATGATGAGGAAGATGAAGCCATGTTTGAAGATGACCCAGAAGATCTTGCACCGAACTACTGGGTGGAGAGTTATGTAGAGGACACTCGCCCCGCTGTCGACGTCGTCCTGAACCACCGCCTTAAGGAGGGCATCGACCCAAAAGCCAATGATCTCGGCCGCAACGACTTTGAGTTTTGTATCAAGTGGCAGGACAAATCACACTATCATGCTACATGGGAAAGCAATGAATCTATTGCCAACTTCCGCAGCACGCGACGCGTGGATAATTATGTTCGGAAGGTGCTCAATGAGGATATTCGGTTGCAGTACAATGTCGACGCCCCTCCTGAAGACCGCGAAAAGTGGAACCTCGATCGCGAACGAGACGTCGAGGCCATAGAGGATTACAAAAATGTTGAACGAGTCATTGGTGTACGTGATGGCGAGGATGGTACCACGGAATACCTTGTAAAATGGAAACGCCTCTTCTACGATTCCTGTACTTGGGAACCAGAGGACCTGGTTAGTGAGATCGCACAGCGTGAGGTTGACCGATTCTTGGACCGCACCGCTCGACAACCCATCTCCGACAAAAACGAGATGAATGTTGCCACGCGTAAATCCTTCGAGCCCATCCACGGAACCCCCAGTTTCTTGCAGAATGGAGAACTCAAGGACTTCCAAGTCAAAGGTCTAAACTTTCTGGCTTTCAATTGGGTCAGGGGTCGCAATGTGGTTTTGGCAGATGAGATGGGTCTCGGAAAGACAGTACAAACTGTCTCGTTCATCAACTGGATGCGCCATGTCAGGCGACAGCAAGGGCCATTTATCGTCATCGTCCCCCTATCTACTATGCCAGCATGGGCTGATACTTTCGATCACTGGACACCGGACCTGAACTACGTTGTCTACAACGGTAGTGAAAAAGCACGCTCCGTTTTGCGCGATTATGAATTGATGATCGATGGGAATCCCAAACGTCCAAAGTTCCACGTTCTGTTAACAACTTACGAGTATGCGATGAATGATTCGCCATTCCTCGGCCAATTCAAGTGGCAATTCATGGCAGTGGATGAGGCACACCGTCTCAAGAATCGCGATTCACAACTCTATATCAAGTTGTTCGAATGGAAATGCCAGGCACGCCTCTTGATTACTGGTACCCCAATCCAAAACAACCTTGCCGAGCTTTCAGCTCTAATGGATTTCCTCAACCCGGGCCTTGTTGAAGTCGACGTCGACATGGATTTGAATTCCGAGGCAGCATCTCAAAAACTTGCGGAATTAACTACCGCCATTCAGCCTTACATGTTGCGGCGTACTAAGTCCAAGGTTGAGTCGGATCTTCCTCCGAAAACTGAGAAGATCATTCGAGTGGAGCTCTCCGATGTCCAATTGGAATACTACAAGAACATCTTGACGAAAAACTACGCTGCACTGAACGACGGGAACAAGGGTATGAAGCAGTCTCTCCTGAACATCATGATGGAATTGAAAAAGGCTAGCAACCACCCATTTATGTTCCCCAACGCAGAAGCAAAGATTCTGGAAGGCAGTAGTCGTCGAGAAGACATTCTTCGAGCCATGATCACTAGCAGTGGAAAGATGATGCTTCTCGATCAACTCCTCCGAAAGTTGAGCGTTGATGGCCATCGAGTTTTAATCTTCTGTCAGATGGTTGGCATGCTGAACATCCTGAGTGAATATATGGAGTACCGTGGTTACAAATATCAACGGCTTGATGGAACTATCCCGTCTGCCGCCCGTCGCTTGGCAATTGAGCATTACAATGCTCCTGGTAGCACCGACTTTGCATTCCTTCTTTCAACCCGCGCAGGTGGTCTCGGTATCAACCTTATGACTGCAGACACTGTCGTTCTGTTTGATTCGGATTGGAACCCCCAGGCTGATTTGCAGGCTATGGCGCGTGCTCATCGAATTGGTCAAACAAGACCTGTCAGTGTGTACCGCCTTGTCTCAAAGGATACGATTGAAGAAGAAGTCATCGAAAGAGCTCGCAACAAGCTCTTGCTCGAGTTCATCACCATCCAGCGTGGTGTCACAGACAAAGAAGCCTCAGAGATGCAAAATAAGATGGCTCGCGTGGTTGCCGAGCCTAATTCCACGGACGATATCTCTCGGATCCTCAAGCGCCGCGGTCAGAAGATGTTCGAACAAACCGACAACCAGAAGAAACTGGAGCAGCTTGATATCGATTCCGTCCTTGCAAACGCAGAATTACACCAAACCGAAGAGGCCGAGCAAATCCAAGCTGACGGTGGCGAGGAATTTTTGAAAGCATTCGACTTCGTCGACATCAAAGTTGACGATCTCACCTGGGACGACATCATTCCCAAGGAACAGCTCGAGGTGATCAAGGCCGAGGAAAAGCGCAAAGATGATGACCGTTATCTCGCTGAGGTCGTTGAGCAAAATCGACCCCGCAAGCGCCACGCCCCCACGGACACTACAGATTCACGAGAGGAACGCAAGGCGAAACGACTCGCAAGAGCTCAAGTCAATATCGACGATGGCGAGGAAGAGGGTGCCTCCTTGGATCCTAAGCGCCCCCTCGGAGAAAAAGAATACCGTGCGCTTTCTCGAGCTTTCCTTCGCTACGGCGATCTGGATGACTCTGAAGACCTCATCCTCGAGGATGCCAGGTTACAAAGTCGCGATCGAGGCACCGTTCGTGATGCTCTTCATGAAATTACCGACAAGGCAAACGCACTTGTCCAAGAAAGTCTGGACCAATTAGAGGCCATGAAACAATCGGGTAGGAACCCCACGAAGAAAGAACAGAAGGCCGTCTTGTTCGACCATCACGGTGTTAAGCGACTCAATGCATGGACTATCGTTGAGCGTCCGCCCGATATGCGCCTCATCCGAAGCATCATCAAAGCATTGACTGATTTTAAGACATTCCGGCTTCCTGAGGCTACCAAATTAGCGGACTACAGCTGCCAGTGGGGTGCGCGTGAAGACGGGATGCTTCTTGTGGGTATCGCACGCCATGGGTTTGGTGCATGGACCCAGATTCGTGATGACACCGAGCTTGGCCTCGGCGACAAATTCTTCCTCGAGGAACACCGAGTGGAGCGAAAGACGCAACGCCTGCAGACCGATGAGAAGGCAACAAAATCACCGGGTGCTGTCCACCTTGTTCGACGAGCTGAATACCTCATGTCTGTTCTGAGAAACAAGTACAATAACAACGCCACAGCAAGAAGGGCAGTTGACAATCACCACCGCAACAATAAGCGTGGCTCACGGGTTTCGGGTAGTGGCAGTGTCTCCGCCTCTCCGGCGCCCTCGAGCTCTCGCAGGCCCGAGAATCCCCGCAAGGGCCACCGTGAATCTGATCGATCACGGCCCCGCCCCCGGGAGGGAGACCGTCATAATACTCCCAGCCATGACTCTCGTCCACGGTCTAGTCTTGATGATCGTCCACGCCATCGTCTATCCGATGCCTCTAATGATGAGCTTCGTCGCCGCAAAGGTCATGAGAACGGCAGTTCTAATAAAGAAGACATGGCTTTCATGTTCTTCAAGCCTATTGTTGCCAACTTGAAGCAAGTGTCAATGATCACTGCCAAAAACTACCCAAGCAAAAACGAGCGGGCCCAGAAGCTCCGTCTTACCCTTGTGAAGATCGGAGAATTCATTCGCAATACTCTGGAGGGCTCACACTCCATGCCATCCTTGGAGGTCCGACTCTGGTAATTTCTCTGTACCATCACATTTATCTTTTCATGTTCTGACTTGACTTTCAGGGATTATGTTTCACTCAACTACTGGCCAAACAAAGATGCCAGTGGCGCTAAGCTGCAGCAGATGTTCAATAAAGTCATGGAAGCTAGTAAAGCTTCCAAGGCCTCTAATGGCAGCTCAGCTTAAGCTGTTCCGTATCTCATCAGCACAATGGGTATAGGTGTTCTTTG